ACCGACTGACAGTATGCGACAGCGTCCGTCTGTCCCATGAGCACGCGGGTTGGGGTGTACACGCCGAAGGGCGTCATGAACGAGAAGTACATCTGGCTGTCCGCATGCAGCGGCAACTGCCAGTACCCCTTGGTCCAGTCCAACGTGAAGTACACGTTCGTTCCGACCAGACAGATCATCGCGCTGTCCAGGTTTGGCATCTGCTCCGTGCAGGCGTTGTCGATCGTCATGCGCTAGTCGCCGACTTCCTTCTTCGGCACGATCCTTGGGGCTGCGGACCACGTAGCCCGGTTGTTTTGGTATACCATACCATTCGCTTCCAGGGCAGCCACATGGATGCGCATGTACTCCACATGTGGTGGCGGGTACCACCGCATCCCAAACTTCACCGGCGTCGAGCCGGGTTTGATCCGAACCTTCAATGGCTCGACCTTGTTTGGTGAATCGTCGCCCAAGTCTTCACGGAACACATCAATGTGTTTGGCCAATAAGTCGTGCAGCCGCGTCGCTTCAGCGGGCGCAAGTCCACGCGTCTCCGCCTCGGCTGCCTTGGCCGTCAGAATGGCTTAAACGGCGCCCTCTTCGTGCGGCGGCGCTCCGATTCGTCCTCGGCGGAGGTTTTGGGATAAACCTCCGGAGTAGCACTCTCCATCCCGTCTTCGGGGTCAAGCTCCGGCGGATTCAACTTCTCTACCATCAGGCGCTTGACATTCGCCATGCCGGACAGTTCATTCGTCGGCACGGACGAAACGTCCCATTCTTCCTTCTTCTTCCTTGCTCCCACAAGGAGGTCTTCAACGCTGAAGCCCAGTAACTCCATGACTGGGCGACTCACGATGAGTCGACGCGTCGTCGACCCAAGCCTTCAGACCGCGCAACACAAGTGGCTCCACCCCACACGTACACGTCGTGTCCAGCGTCACGCAGTTGAACTTGACGCTGCGCGTCATCACCACTGGTTTGGCGTCACTGCCATACGGGTACGCCAGATGCGGCACGCTATGGGAGACGGTCCCAACTTTGACACCGGCTGCGTCCAACGCGTCCATGACGCCGCGCGTGACAACGGTCACGTCCAAACCAGAGTCCAAGGGCACATCGTCCCCGCGGACGATATTCTCCAAGAGCACGCCGCGCTCTGTCTTCTGGCGCTGCTGCTGGTTGACCAGCACCTTGATGCCATCCTTTCAGCGCTTGACTTGCGCTGCCAACAACGTTTCAGCTTCGCCAGGCGCGGTCTTCGGGCACCGCGCCACACGGTGACTCATGTCACCGCGCCACACGGTGACTCATGTCACCGCACTTCAAGCAGCCCTTCCTGGCAGGGGGCTCGGCATTCTTGGGCACAGTCGTTTCGGCCTTTCCGCCGACTCTGCCATTGTTCTTGGCGGCGTCTTCCCGGCCGCTGTCACGTCTCGGCATATGAGGCTTGCCGCCTCGTGGAGCTTCTACCGGCTTCGCTGCCGGGGAAGGTTTGGACTCGTCGTCGATTCCCACGTACAGCTGGTGGCCAGCTGCAAATGTCCGCAGCGAGTTGACGTAACAAAAAACGTAGCTCTTCTACGCCTTGTTCCGCTGCAACTGCAGCTGCTTTTGAACCGCTGTCTTCAGCGATTCTGGCTTGATCGATTTCGTCATGACTTCGATGACCATCTTGCCTTCTTGATGGCGTACCCACTCCTGATGGTCTTGTTCCAACGAGCGCATCAGCTCGTCAAGCATACGACCGACGCGGGACTCAGCGTCCAAGATCTTCGTATCGAAGCGAATCGATCGCTGCAGACGTTGCTTCAAACGTCCTGGTCTTGAGGGTCTTCCTCAAATGCTGACTTGAACCACGCGACCCACTCATCGTTCGTGATGCAATTGTGGTCGCGGTTGAAGTCGAACAGCACGATCCGGCGCTTCGAGAACGGGTCCACGCAGGCACTCACGGATATCGCGAACGTACGCGATCCATTGCACTGCAGAGCGTTGATCTGCCCAGAGACTTCTGGTACTCGCGCATAAAAGCGCGTCTTTCGGCCTTGGTCGAGCCCGAAAATGTTGGCGGCTGCGGGAGCGCCGGCGCGTTCCAAACTTGCGGCGCCGTACGGCCGTAACCGCCATCGCTGCCTGCCCATGTCCGTATCGTCACGGACGTCCGACGGGTCGTTGTCGGCTGGCAACGGCACTGAAGCACCATCTGCTTCAGTCGTTGGTGGAGAAGCAGCTGAGACAAACGC